AGTGGGGAGTGTGCAGGAGGCAGCTGGTCGATGTGTCTCTCTCATTGATGTTTCTAACTCTCTATCTCTCTCCTTTCCTCTCTGTAAAAACTCAATAAAATATTTTTTTAAAAAAAGACAATCTATTAATAGCTCAATAGACTATTAATCTAAAAATTCACAAAATGCCTAGTTATCCATATTTAAACAAATAGCATCTAAAACAGACCTCTGTATGTGATTTCTACATTTATAACACACATAGGACATAATTCATTAGGCTATCCTTTTTTTCTGAAATCTAAAATCCAAGAAAACTGAATCATTTTTAAATGAACCAATATGTTTATTAGATCCATGGGTTGTAAGAAAACTTCAATTGCTACTTTATGTCATGCTGATGTAGGCATAAACTCTCAAGTTAAACTTCTCTCTTTATAGTACAAGTTTCAATTTGGATTTTAGAAAGCTTGAGGCCATGTATTTTCACATCTTTCCCCACTCCCATTTCTGAAATCAGAGACCCAATTTCAGGAAAATACTGGCAAGTTACATAAAGATTTAACATGTTCAAGAATAAATCTCACTGCCATTAAGGCAATTACATTAAAATAAAAAACATTTAAACCACTTACTATTATCAGGTTTTCTGGCTTCTAAATTAATAAAGTCAAAGTGCATAATCAAGTTTTTCTTAACAATTGTACTAATCAAGTGCAAAACTGTAAAATGTAAAGAAAATCATTAATATGTTGCTGTCACTTTTCTTAAATTGAATGTAGTAGGGTGACATTGGTTCACAAAACCATACATGTTTCAAGTGTACAACTTAATAAAACATCATCTACACACTGCATCCTGTGTCCATTGCCCCAAGCAAAGTATTTTTCCATCACCATTTATCTCCCATTGATCCACCTCCACCAATTCCACCCCCCTTTCCCTCTATCATCACACTGTTATTAGTGTCCATGTGAGATGCGCGATTGTGTGTGTGTGTATATGGGTGTGTGCGCGCGCGCGCTTTTGCTAAATCCTTTCACCTTCTTTCATCCAGCCCTCAATGCCCCTCCCGTCTGACAGCTGTCAGTCTATTCCATGTATCCCTGCCTCTGTTTCTATTTTATTCGTCAGTTTATTTTGTCCACTAGATTCTACATATAAGTGAGATCATATGGTATTTGTCCTTCTCTGACTGGCTTATTTCACTTACATTAATAATCTCAAGACACATCCATGCTTCCAGAAAGATTAGATTTCCTTATTTTTTTACAGCCAAGTAGTATTCCGTTGTATAAATGTACCACAGGTTTTCTTATCCACTTATCTACTGATGGGCACTTGGGCTGTTTCCAGATCTTGGCTATCATAAATAATGCTGCGATGAACACATGGGTGCATATATCCTTTCTAATTAGTGCTTCCTGTTTCTTCAAATATATTCCTAGAAGTGGGATTGGTGGGACAAAAGGATCCCCATTTTTAATTTTTTAAAGAAACTCCATACTGTTTTCCCCAGTGTTTTTTTTTTTTAACCACAGAGCCTGCAAGTCTCTTCCTTTTCATCTCACAACACGGGAGGCTAGGCCTCAGTACCCTTTTTTGAACAGACTAAGCACCCTCCATCCTCTCTTGATCATTAGCCATCTGTCAACTGCACAAACCCTTTGAATATGAGACTCTGGAGGCAGTATTTGCTTCCTCTGTGCCTGCCCCAGGTCTCTACTATGCACAGAGAGGAGATCTCCACAATTATAATGACGGCTGTCCTATCTGAGATTATGTGGATTTAAGCCCTTCAATACCAGGTAGACACTTATATCAAACAAGGTCCTATTACTTCTGCCCTAACTCTATGTGTTTACTTTCTCTCTAAATTCTTTTTTTAAGATTTTTAAAATTGATTTTTAGAGAGAGGAAGGGGAAGGGAGAGAGAAACATCTATGTGAGAGTGAAACATTGATCAGCTGCCTCCTGCATGCCCCCTACAGGGAATCGAACCCAAAGCATGGACGTGTGTACTGACCAGGAATCCAACCCACATCCTTCTGGTGCGGGGGGATGATGCCCAAACAACTGATCCACAGTGGACAAGGCTCCGAAATGAATGAACTAAATGTGAGATGTAGCACTATGAATCAAATAAGATGATAACAGCTAGGTACAGAAATAACAACCAAAAGTAATAAGTTAGATATCCCTCCAGCTCCAGTACGGATCGGGTACAGCAATAGTGTGCATTAAACAAATATCTATCAGAACTACTCACTACTGTATCGTTACACATGTGATTTAAAACTGACAATAGTGATGTATCTTAATATATGTACTAAAGATTTGTTAATAATTCATCGTCTCTGTTTTCATTATTACTTATACTAACAAAACAAATATCTCCAAAGCATTCCATAAGAGTATCATAATCATGAATCACAATTTTAAATGATGGCAACCCTGTTTAAAAAAAAATTAAACCAGCTATGATCTCTTTACTGTCTTGCTTTCCTATACAAGACATTACAATTGTTCATAAACATGATTAAGTCCTACTAAAATAACTCAATTGATCACCTACCCTAAAACTCCCACGCTTTCCCTAAAACAGTACACTAAAAAGTCAGGGGATCTCCTTCCATGCCTACTTCAGTAAATTCACACACACATTTATATGTGTACATATATTTATCTTTATTTCTAGAAATAAAAAGTTGTGTGTGTTGTGTATATCTGTCTTAAAATAAATAATGTCACATTAAACATTATGCTCTGCAACTTGATTACTAACTTTCCCTCACCCACACAATTTATCATCATGTCATATCATCCAACAAATTCTTGCCTTCAAGATTAGTTTCAGAATCACCTTGAAAGGTAAAATTCATGCTACACACAATACAGTGAAACTTGTAAGCAACAGATACAGACAAATAAGATTGGATTTGAAAAGTGGTAGCCGAGGTTAAAACAAATGTGATATTAACGATATCACGTTTGATTCTTGAATACTACAAACATAAAAGCAACAAAAATCATATATATGTTCTCTTTCAAGTCAGTTCTACTTCCTTTAATTGTCCTGTCTCACAACTCAAAGGTAAATAATGCAAACCATTTAATTAGTTACATATCCAATGTATTATACATAGATATTGTTACACACACACACACACACACACACACACACACACACACATCCATGCACACTCAAAACTGATACCGTATAGTTTAGATATAAAATCATCCCAAAATTACAGTCAGCTTCCAGAGACATAAACATGAGTGCCAGATGCACATAACAGGAGTTGCATATAACTCAAGGGTATGAAATTGGGATGCGATTGGTAAGCAGAGCCTTCATGAAATAAATATGTATAGAATAGTTGTAGCTAAACCTTTCAATTATTAATTACTAGATATATGACTTTTAGTAGGTAACATAACTTCTTGAATCTAAATTTCCATGTCTGTAAAATATAGAAACAACTCTCTGTTAATGAACAACACTTTTTAGCACTGCCAGGAAAAGCTGCAACTGGAACTTACTCTCCTTAAAGTTCATGGTTCCAGCCTTCTCCATCTCAGTGGTTATAGGACAGAACCCATTGCCTTAAATGCAATCCTAGCTCTGGCACAGGTTAGCAAGTATGAATTCTGAAGTCCACGTCTCAATTTGCTCCTGGGTCACTGGAAAGATTTAGTGAAATAGTCCATAGCTAACTATTATTGCACAATTAAAAATGTTCACTAGATTTTAGATATTATATACAACTAGAGGCTCCATGCACAAAATTCATGCACTGGGGGAGGAGGGTCCCTCAGCCCGGCTTGCACCTTCTCGCAGTCCAGGACCCCTCAGGGGGTATCCGCCTGCCGGCATAGGCCCAATCGCAGGAGCGGGCCTAAGCCAGCAGTCAGACATCCCTCTCACAGTCTGGGACCAATTGCTCCTTACTGCCCGCCTGCTCACTGCTCCTTACTACTCGGCTCACTACTCCTTAGTGCTGCCACAGAGGCAGGTGAGGCTCCTGCCACCACCGCTGCACTCACCAGCCATGACCCTGGCTTTGAACGTCTGGTCCCTGGTGGTCAGTGCACATCATAGCAACCAGTCATTCTGGTAATTCCGCCATAATGGTCGCTTAGACTTTTATATTTATAAACTAGAGGCCCAATGCACGAAAATTCATGCAAGAGTAGGCCTTCCTTCCCTCGGGCACTCAGGACCCAGGCTATTTTCTTCTGGCTGCTGGCAGGCACCCGGGACCCGGGCTGCTTTGCTCCGGCCCCGGCTTCATCAGGAAGGACATCTGGAATGATGCCAGAAAGGACGTCCGGTCTAATTAGCATATTACCCTTTTATTATTATAAATAATATTGTAAACTACATATTAATCCCTTCTCCTTCTTCTGTATCATGATAGTGAAATTTCTGTAATTAGCTAGTTATTAATAATAGGAAAGGAGCAAAAGGAAGGCCAGACATTATAAGCATGTCATTTGGGCAGCTTCATCAGGAAGCTGCAATTTCACTCCCCAGAGAACCACCAGTCCATTTCCAACAGATCAATGGGGGAAGGGACTGAACAAAAGGGGAGGATGGGAGCATGCACAGTGAAGTTGGAGCAGCATAGGGAAGGTGTCTGTCAGTCAAACCTGGGAACAGAGATCATTGGCTAGAGGGGGCAGGGCTACTGTAAGCCCATGAACATTTGGGGAATACATAATTCCAAGATAAAGGAGTGCACTCTCTTGGCTCTTAGCACTCTTGGCTCTCTTGGAATTTGATTCTCTGGTTCTTCTCTTGGTCGTCCATGTTTCCTCCATAGCCAGTGACCCTGCAGACAGCACACACATGGACTGAAGGATTGCAACTGGGAGCACAAACTAAGCTAGCTTTATACTAGATTGGACATTGCTTCAACATGGAACAGAAACTCTAGGCAACAGCTTTAATTCTAGCCCTTTAAAAGGCACAACTGCACTTTTTCAAGGGACCTTAGAAACTCAGAGGTTTAATTACACAGAATTAAAGCTTTCTACATTTTTTTATCCTCTTGTGCGAATCTCAAAAAATTCCTTTTTCAAGGTAACACAAGAAACCCACATCCCCCAGCAACAGATGGGAACAGGGAGAGCTCCCCACCCAAACAATAGAACACTCTTCTCATTATCTAATGCTATTTCTTCTCTGAAGCTTTCACGACTTATTTCTCATCTTACATCGGAAAGGGTGAGCTTTTCATGGTTTTATCTTCAACTTTGTCCTAATATTGTTCCAGTGGTTTGGAAATAAAATATTGGAACATTTGGTAAAGAGATAAAACCAAATTTCATAAGAAAGGAGTATCTTATCCTGGAGAAATTTAACAGTTGGATTCACCAGGTACACCCCATTTTTTCCATAGAAAGATTATGTAATGCTTTCAATTTGGGAGAATACCACCAGTGATCCTAGCAAGAGAGTCCAAGAGTCCAAAATTTTGAAGGGTAACCCAATAAAACCATGTTTGGATAAACTAAACAATAACGGTCATATTCTCCATTTAAACTTGGGAAAATGCTGGACAAAAGCAAAAACTGAGCTTGCAAGGAAATATTTATCATTAATATACTAAATGTCAGGCACTAATAAGAGCTCACATATGCACAACTTCACTTGATGTTACTGGTTACACAGTACTGTAGATAGGAGGCTCTTCCTACATGGCTGATGATGAAAGTGTGAAACAAAATAGAGTCAGATGAAGACAATTTATCTGTTTTTAACAACAACAAATTCTCATGTTCTGCATGCCTAATATGACCATGCTAAGCCTCTGCAAGTGTATGAATCTTGATCTACATTGAGAAAAGCTGAACAACTCTATAATGTTGCAACTCCTTTCTGGGTGAAGATGGTATATTTATAGGAGATTTCAGTATGTGATTAATTTACCCGGTGAGAGGAGGAAAATGGAGAACAAATTGGACCATTTTCTATAGGAGCCTTTCACTTAAAAAGAAAATGAAGGTTATTATAAACAGACTGTTGACAATTTAATTTGGTTTAATATGCACCATTAATGTGAGATACTTTTGTACTAGTCAGTATTAACCTAGATATTAAAAAAAAGTTTTAATTACCACGATAGATAAAGCTATAAAGTACTATGGTAATATCACTACTCATCTGAGCAGGTCTTAGGAGAAAATAAGCCAGTAAAAAACAGAATCCCTTTTCTGACCTAGTAACCCTTTGAAAAAAGAATCAGTGACAATTTGGTTGATAGAAGCCATAGGCATCGTGATCATAGATTGGAGCTTAGGAAATTGGTGTCAATCCTGTCAACCATCGCACTTCCTCTGGCTTTTCTCAAACTGGGGAACCAGCAAGGCCACAAACACAGCCCAAAGATCAGCATCTACTCAGAACAAGGGGTCTCCATGTCCTCAAACTAGAAATGCAGTTCCACAGCAGGGGGAAATGGTCAAGATTATTAGTTAACCACACATCCAACTTAACTTTTTTAAAAGCCTTGAGCTAAGAGTACACAATTAGATTAAAAAAAAAATAGTTTAGAGCACTCTGCTTTCCTCTAATTAACCTAAAAACTGGTTAATAATAGAGTTTGCAAGTTTTGCCAACACATGCACACAAAATATATTCTCATTTATGTTTGCTATTCTACTTTGATCATTTAATTATTTACATAATTTAACTTTTAGAAAAGTTCTATACATGGGCACTCTTATAAATGAAAATCCAAGCCATCAGGTGATAACACTAAAACACTAAGAAATGTAATTTATAATGATTAAGGAATTGTGTTGATGAGGTGTTAGGAGAGTTGAGAAGACATACCTCCTCCCCGACCTTTTGTTCTCAGTTTGTTTTTTTAATATATTTTATTGATTTTTTTACAGAGAGGAAGGGAGAGAGATAGTTAGAAACATCAATGAGAGAGAAACATCGATCAGCTGCCTCCTCACACCCCGCACTGGGGATGTGCCTGCAACCCAGGTACATGCCCTTGACCGGAATTGAACCTGGGACCTTTCAGTCCGCAGGCTGATGCTCTATCCACTGAGCCAAACCGGTTTCGGCTGTTCTCAGTTTTTAGTTTGGCTTGATAAGTTTGGTTACTTTCTCCATGAGAAGAAAAGTAAACCATATTTGATCCAATATACTAAGTTACAAAATCCTTTCAGAAACTTTATATGTTCACTGTAATAGTTCAATTAAAATGTAGCTTTTTAGGGCTAAACTTTATAAAGAATCCCTATTAAAGGTAAGTCCTGAATACAAGTTAAATACAAACTATAAATTTAAGATTTTAAACCAATTTCTAACTTAAAGAAAGGTTAAAGCAATCTACTTTTAATTAAATATATCTATAGCAACTTAATTTCAAATGTGAAGGTTCCGCAACCCAATTTCTCATGATAAGAATATTACTAAAACTCATCTGCATTGAATGACAGTCTTCCATTCCTTTCAGCATTCTGAATCCATTATCTGCCTCATGGGAATGAATGCTTTCTATGACTGATGATGAGTAAGATATATAGGACAAATGATGCACTTTTTCATTTAAAAGACTAAAAAGGAAACTCACGTTAGTCTCCTTTCTGCCTAGTTTCATTAAAATCTAAATACAGCTATTCTAAGATAGTTTTCTAGCTCAGTTTGACAAAAAATGTCTCATGTATCATTAAAATCAATTACAGATTCTCTGGAATTATACCTCAAAACTTTCATTTTAACACATTTGGTTTTAAAAGAGACACATAAAATATAACCAAATTAATAAGCAATAAAAAATCCTCAAAAAGTATAAAAATTATGATATTGTTTATGTAATCATTACTAATTTGAATTCTAAGAGTTGATTTTAAAAAATCATTGGGCAAATATCATCATATAATTCTCTATTTCCCAAAATATCATTATAAAGTATTAACGTTAATAATTTATTTATCAAAAAAGTACTCAAAAATGGCCATAAATACTTCAAATAGCATCAAAATTTCTATTTAACCTTATTACTACCGTAGTTAAGCTTAGGCAGATCACCTAAGCTTATCTGAGCTTAGAGATCACCCATTTCCCCTGCCAGATGAGAAGGGTGTTATTTCCTTTTGCATCTCTGAATTTCCACAATTTCATGCATCCCAATATAGATAAAGCTAAAAATCACCTAAGTTAATATTACTACTCACCTGAGTAAGTCTTAGGAGAAAGTAAGCCAGTAAAAGATAAAACTCCTCTTCTGACTTAGTAACCCTTCAAAAAAAAGAAAAAGGCGGGGGCGGGGGGGTCGCAGGGCAGGTAGTGGCAGGGATCAGCAACAACTTGACTGACAGGAGCCACAGGCCTGATCACAGACTGGAGCTGCAGAAACTAATACCAACCCTGTCCCCACCCCCCATCGCTGCTCCTCTGGCACAGTGTGTAGCACATAGAAGGTGCTCAATAAACACCGCTACCTAAGGGAAGGAAAGTGGGGAGAAATGAAGGAGAAGATGCTGAATTTAAACTGCAGCTCTTTCACATGCTCTTCTAACCTAAAGGGCCCTAACAGAGCTTTGAAACAAACCTACTTTTCTGGGGGGGAAAAATCACCATAGACCCATACACAATGGTATATTTAGTGAATTAAAACATGTGGGATATTACAACATTAACAGAGTAAAGCCCTTATTTTAAGATTGTATTCTGTAACTCCAGGGGCAGGATAAGGCAAGAAAAACTGTAATTTTCCTTGCCCAGAGTTTAGATGTATTAGTAATCATATATCATTGTTTAATGGTATTTTAGGACCTACTGATAAATTGTTGCAAAGTTAAATGCTTGCTTCAAGTGAATTAAGATATTTAGCATCCACTTCGATCCCTGCTTCCTTCTAGCAGTGGCTGCCTTTTTCTCTTAACCACAGAGCCTGTAACTAGACCCTCTCTTTCAGGACTCCAGCACTAAGTAAGTACGCTCCCAGAACCAACCATTTCCTCCATTTTTGTATCTATACTCAAAGGAGCCTCAGGTTCCAGTTCTGATTGTTCCCTTAACCTTTCCCAGCCTTCTGTAAGAGCACTTCATTTCACTCCTTCCGGGGGGACCCTGAGCCTGCCAGCTGTGTTCTGCTGCTCTCTAACACAAAGGCTAAAATCCTGTGACTCTCAAGAAAAACTCTTCAACAGAAGTAAGACTGTAAATTACTACCACCTAAAGATGACCCCCTTATTCACTGGAGCCAAGCACACTTATTGGTGAGCTGAGAAAGCAAGAATAAAGCAGCCCAGGTTAAAAACAAAGAAATTCCTATAAAGTGCCCAGAGTTGTGACTCTACACACACGGTTCATTCTCCTTGGTCCTAATGGAACTCTTTTGTCATCTATCTCCCAGTTATTGGAATAAACATGTTTGAACAGACACATATTACCATCCATAAAGCAATGTCTAGATCATGTCTGCCCAGTATATCTGTTTCATCAAGTGGCAAGTATATCAGAAACATTTATCACTGTAAGACATAATTCACCTGCATTTTAATGAGTAATACTTAACTACATGGTCATGATTACAATATGACAACTTTTAAAAATATCTCCCAAAATCTTTCCTTATTAATTTTATAGAAAATGCTAAAAATTAAATGAGCCTGGCCAGTGTGACTCAGTGGTTGAGCATCAACCTATGAACCAGGAGGTCAGTGTTCAATTCCTGGTCAGGGCAAATCACCTGTGTTGCGGGCCCCATCTCTGGTGGGGAGTATCTCATAATTGATGTTTCTATCTATCTCCCTCTCCCTTCCTCTCTGAGATCAATAAAACTACATGGAGTGGCCAGATTATTATGACCACCTGACGTTTGTAGGCAAATTAGCCGTACACTGCATCCTATGGGAAATGGAAGTCGAAGGCCTATTCGAACACCTTTGCTATCTGCAGTTACCAAGATAAAATGTCTCCAATTCGCACAAGAACACAAGGATTGAACAGTCGAGCATTGGAAAAAAGTCATGTGGTCCGATGAATCACGTTTCCAGTTGCATCATGCAGATGGCAGAGTGAGAATTTGGCGGAAACAGCATGACAGCATGTACCCCACATGCATGAGTACAACCC